GAAACGTCAGCTTTCCTGCTCCTCTGATGCTGCTTGGCCTGCTGTGTTCATCCAGCTCTACACCTTGTTATCTCAGATTCTCCAGCATCTGCAGTTCCTACTATCTCCTTAATGGTTAAGGCCAGACAAACAAGCTCAGGTGGAAATTAAAATTCAATACAAGAGACATTGAACCTGGCCAAAATAAAGTTCACTGCTGGTAAATGTTCCTAAATAGAATGGTCAGGTAGGTTCTGCACAGGCTACAGACAAGTAAGTGCAGTGATGAAACAGATTAATATGCAATTCCCTGGTTAGGAGATTATATTGAATGAGTTGGGGGAGTGTCTCATTTCTTGCTGAGATTGACCTATTGTAGGGGTACTGGCAAATACAATTAACTCAAAAGCTAAAGAGATATCAGCCTTTGTTCCACCAAATGGATAATATCAATGCTGAGCCAAGCCATTCAGGTTTAAAAATGCCCCAGGAACAAAAACAAAAATTGCTGCAAAAGCTCAGTAGGTTTGGCAACATCTATTGAGATGCTACCAGACCTGCTGAGCTTTTCTATTTCCTGATTTACAGCTTCCACAGTTCTTTCGGTTTTTAAAAATGCCCCAGCTTCATTTTAGAGACTTATACATCAAGTTGTAGCTAAAGTGCCTAACTGTGTAGTTTATTTAGACAAGTTTATAATATTCAGCAATAATATAGGAAAAAGTGATTTGAAAATCTGTTTAAGCAATTACACTTAGCTGGTTGTTAATAAATCTCATTCAGATTTAATTGGCAAAAGTGAGGGTTACTTAAACAAGGACATAACGTAAGGCAAGAGCAAGTGTTGTGAACACAATGAAGGCACTGAAAGAATTCCACATTCCAAAAATTAAACAGAAAATCTTGAGATGTCTGGGATTGTGAAATTTATTAGAAACTTGTTCTTGTGGAGTTTATTCAACTGTTTAGTGTAAAAATTGCAGAAAAAAGATAGTGCTTTGGTCAACGGATTATCAATAATGCATTTGTGCTGGAATAGATTCAGAACATGGAAGGGACTTGACAAGAAATTGTTTGAATCCTATATAAGGAATGAATGAGGGCAAATAAATGTAATTTTCTTGTGTTTTATGTCGGTGCTATCTTTACATGGTGATAAAATGCATGTAAAAACATCATTTCACATGTAAAGAAGCATGTAAAGGCCCACATATTTTCTTTCTTTGGGACTATAAACAGAAATAGAAGCTGGACTAATATATATCTGGAATAAAATTGAGTTTTGCAATTTGGAAAGATTAAGTGGTACACATTTTTAGCTGGGTGACACAATGTTGCATTGCAAAATAAGTGAGGGGATACTTTGAGGTCGAATGGTAACAAGTGTCCTTCAGGTCAGTCGAAGTAACTACTGAGCTAAACCCAGCGCCAAACGCTGGGCAGCACCCATATAGTTCAGATACTTCAGATAGTTTGTTAGAGGCTTTTAAGCGACTCTTGGATAGGCACATGGAGGATAGTAAAATGTAGGGTATGCAGGGCAGTTGATCTTAGTAGGATAATAGGTCGACACAACATCGTGGGCCAACGGGCCTGTACTGTGCTGTACTGTTCTATGTTCACTAGACACAAACTTGCGACTAGATCTATCCCCACCTGTCATGCGGAAGACAGGGGTTCAATTCCCCGCCGGGGAGTATCTAAGCTTTGAAATGGCACGGTGGGTCAGTGGTTAGCACCACTACCTCTCAGTGCCAGGGACCTGGGTTCGATTCCACCCTCGGGTGACTGTCTGTGTGGAGTTTGCACATTCTCCCTGTGTCTGTGTTGGTTTCCTCCCACAGTCCAAAGTTATGCAGGGTAGATGGATTGGCTATGCTAAATTGCCCCTAGTGTTCAGGGATGCATAAATTTGGGGGGTTGGGTCTGGGTGGGATGTGGTTGGTGCGGACTTGTTGGGCCAAATGGCCTGTTTTCAAACTGTAGGGATTCTATGATATGGCTCTATGAGGTCAGGAAATTCTGCCTAATGGCAGCCCTCTGATCTGTTGGGTTGTAGTTTGTTAAAAAGCTGTAATTATAAGGGCAGCCAAAGACATGTCTCTCTCCCTCTTGCTCTGTATGTGTGTGAAAAGACACAACATTCAAGAGTGTTTAAAAGAAAGAATTCTAAAAAGAAAACCTAGGTCCACTGGACTAATTATTAAAGTGAAGAATGAATGTGGCCTTACAAAGAACAGCTATCATTAGTGCTGATAAGAAAGGGAAATGTTGGCGACAATTTAACCTACACTTGAAATCTAGACTTTTCATCTACTGAATTTTACTTTCCTTTTCTTTCTTTTACTGTTCATAAAATAATAGTCTTTTTTCTGTTTTAATTGTGAATGTGTACGAAGGTATTTATGGTTTTTAAAGGCATATACTTTATGTTACATAATAAATTAGTAACCCTTTTTTGTACCATTTGATAAACGTAAGTGTGTTACAATGAATAGAGTTATTCTCTGTTAATTATAAAACCAAGTTTGAAATGGCTTTCAGAAACAAAAACATAAATTGCTAGAATAGCTCAGCAAGTTTGGCAGCATCTGTGGAGAGATATCAAAGTTAACGTTTCGGGTTCAGCGACCCTTCCTCAATGATATTAACTGGGAAAAAGTTGTTTTTTATGCAGGAGATAAGGTGGTGGTGGGGCGTGGGTGGTGGGGGTTGTATGGGGTGGGGTTTGGGGATGGACGGGCTAGGGAGTCAACGATAGGTGGAAATGGAACCCAAAGAGACAGAAGAACAGTTGGACAGACAAGGGAGTCAATAACGATCAGCCTGGGAGAATGAATAGCTATTAGTGGACAATTAATGGCTAACGATGGCTGGTGTGTAATAGCGGGCTATGTGATGACAAGGCCTGGTGTGTGGGGGTTAGGGTAAAGACATGGGAGAAGGTGCTTCAAGCCCTAAAATTATTGAACTCGATATTGACTTCAGAAGGCTTTGGCGTTCCCAAGACTTGGCTTTGGCCTGTATTGCAAATCAGTTAAGCAAACTTGTCATCTTGGTGGTCTATTGGGATTTTATACATTTTTTGACAACTTGCAGACCAGTGGGGCATGACTACTTCCCAGTTAAGTTGTGACAACTGTAAATTTGTAAAAACAGTTAAAAGGCAAAAGGTTAATTATGTGATACCATAAGCAAATATTTGGCAATCTTTCAGAAAAAAATGATTACCTTTGTTACTTTTTACTCAAGGATAATCATGCATTGGTTTGTTATGATAATTTTGAATCCCAAAAGGGTCTGTAAAACTAATGCATTGGCTATAAATGCACCATTAACATGGAATTTCCTGAAAATTGGAACTTTTATGCTATGTCTGAGTTTCTTGATATTTTATGCCTTTTAAGTAGAACCTCTTGTTCACAAATGCAGTCAATCAAAAACAAAGGCATATAAAAGGATGAAAACTACTGGTAGGCCAGAGAATCGAGAACTTATTTGGATTAAAATGCTAGTAAAAATAGAGAAAATTTTATAATGAAAATAAACTGGCAAGAAATATAAAAACTAACAGCAGGAACTTCTACGGTATATAAAAAGTGAATAGCTAAAGATAGTGTGGGACCCGAGGGGATGAAATTGAGAAATTGATAACAGGGAACAGGGAAATGGCAGATAATTTAAACCAATATTTTGCATTGATGGAGGACACTGTAAACATCCCAAAGGTAACACATAAGCAAGGTTGTAATGGAAGGAAAGGTTTGCTAAGAGTTACAATCATGAAGGACAAAGTATTTGACACTTCGATGGGATTGAAGGCAGACACGTCGTTAGGATGGCCTGCATCGTAGGGTTTTAAGGGAAGTGACTGCAGGGATAATGGAGGGGTTTGTTGAAATATTCCAGAACACATGTATAGTGGAATGCCACAAGGCGTAGAGCCACAATTAATTACTATCTGTTTTAATGCTTGGAGGAGGGAGCAGATTATATTAATCCAAATTTGCTAATGATATGAAAATAGGTGAGAGGACATGTGTGATGAGGATGTAAGGAATCTGCAAAGGAATATAGATGGATTGAATGAGTGGGCAAAAATCTGGCAGATGGGATTAATGTAGGAAAGTGTAAGGTCATGAACTTTGGTGGGAAAAATAAAAAAGCAGACTACTTAAATATAGAGAGATTAATGTAGGAAAGTGTAAGGTCATGAACTTTGGTGGGAAAAATAAAAAAGCAGACTACTTAAATATAGAGAGATTCAAAAAGGTGCAGTACAAAGGAATCTGGGTGGTCTTGGGCATGAAACTCAACACGTTAACATGCAGATGCAGTAAGTGATTAAGAAGGCAAATGAAATGTTGGCCTTTATTGCTGTGGGGTTAGAGTTTAAAAATGGGAAAGTGTTGTTCCAGCTGTGCAGGGTATTGGTCAGGCTGCCAATGGAGCACTGTGTGCAGTTTCAGTCTCCGTATTTAAGAAAGGATATACTGGCACTTGAGTTCAAAAGGAATAAACTAGGCTAATTCTGCAATGAAAGGCTTGAATTAGCAAGAACAGCTAAACAGATTAGACCTTTACTGATTAGAGTTTAGAAGAATGAGGGTCAATTTATTGAAACATACAGGAGCTTGAAAAGAAGATGTTGAGAAGATGTTACCACGAGTGAGGGAATCTTGAATGAAGGTACATAATTACAGACCAAGTGAACAATCATTTAATACTGAGATGTGAAGGAATTTTTCTTTCAGAGTGCAGTGATTGCAACAAGATCAGCCAGGTGGACCTCATAGAATAGGAGTACCCTAACTTGGGCTGTTAATCTGGTCTGATTAGGGAGTCCTGGCTGACAGATAAGAACAGGAGTGGCAGACATCCTGTTCAATCTGAGAGCTGGTTGTGAGGGAGCTGGATCAGTGTCAAGGACTCTCCACGTGTAAATAACGGTGACTTAGTGACTGGATGCCAACCTCTGTGGAGTTATTTCACAGAAGGTAGTGAATTCTCTACCTTCTGTTTTGGTGTTTTGGAGACTAGATCACAAAGTATTTAAAAGAGAGGTAATTTTTTTTTGAAATATCAAGCAATTGAAATCGATGAGAAATGGAAGAGGAGTTGAGGCTTGGGAGAGATCAGCCCTGATTATAGAATGGTGGGGAAGGCTTGAGGGGATAAATGTCCTCCTCCTTCCCTTACTTCATATGTTCTTTATGTTCTTGATGTTCTCTGATACTCCTCAGCGTACCCGTGCCCTGTATACAAAAGGGAGAATGCAACTGCAAATTTACATTGTACAGGATGGAATATAAATGAACACCCAAGGTCATATTCTGATATTCTAATTTGATATTTTCTGAGTTTACTATTTTTATTTTTACTGAGACTGGCTGCACCCGATCTTTGATTTAACTAATTTGACACTGGAATGGGTTACGTGAAAATCGAAAAGCTCCTATGATTGCACTTTCTTACACAAGTTGTGCCACATCTACATAAATTATGTTTTGATGGATTCAAATATTCATTTTCAGATCTAAAGAGAGATGTTCACAGAAATGACATATTTTTCAGGCTTTCCTTAGGCAGTAATTGTTAATGCTGGTTTCTGCTTGTTTAACCTATTTATTTTTCAATCTGTTATTATACACCTCTGAAAAGGGTGGGACTTGAACCTAGGACTTTTGGTCTAGGGAGAGGGACACTATCACTGTGCTACAACAGGGCCCTCCTAATGACAGTTTTTATATTCCTTTGTAAGTCAATAAGACTGGCAAGACATTTCTATGTAATCTGCATAATCAGTTTAAAAACCAGAGTGAATTTTGGCATAACTTGTCTGTACACCTCTAGAGAAAATTCCAACCCATTAACTTACTATAAAAGAATGAAAGATACATTTTCCAAAAGTAAAAATCCTATTGACGCCATTACCTTTTGTGCAAAAACTCACCAAGATTTCAAACAGCTAAAACAATGAGGGAATCAAAATCAGGAGGTACGGATGCACTGATAATACAGCCATCCGGTGTCGGCTGTAGTTCAGTAAGTAGCATTCTTGTTGCTAAATCAGGAGGTTGTAGATTTTAATTCTGCTTCAGGATTTGTGAACAAAAATCAAGGCTAATGCTCCTGAGCAGTGCTGAGGAGGTGCTGCGCGGCTTCTCAGTTGGTATCAAATACACACAGGAAAAGGAAAAAGAGACTGTTTTATACTTAATAGCAATATAAAACAACGAACATTTTATACAACAAAATACAATACAGCACAGGAACAGGCCCTTCAGCCCACAAAACCTGTACTGATTCCTAATCCTTATTTAGACCAGCTACTTACTGCCCATGCATGGTTTCCACTCCTCTGTTTGCCTCCTGTTCATGTGTCTATCAAGATATGCCTTAAATGTGGTTAACGTGCCTGCTTCCACCATCTCCAATGGCAGTACGTTTCAGGCATCTACCACCCTCTGTGTGAAAAATTCCCTTCATTTCTCCCCTAAACTTTCCCTCTCTCACCTGTGCCCTCTTGCCCTCTTGTAGTTGACATTTCCACCCCGGGGATAAAAAAAATCTCTGACTATCCACCCTATCTCTGCCTCTCATAATTTTGTAGACCTCTGTCTGATCACACCTCCCCCCCACCCCAAATCTCCGTCTTTCCAGCGAAAACATTCCGAGTTTATCCAACCTTTCCTCTTAACTAAAACCCCCCCAGACAAGGCAACATCCTGGTAAATCTCTGCATCCTCTCCAAAGCATCCATGTCCTTCTGGTAGTGTGGCGACCAAAACTGCATGCAATATTGTAAATGTGGCCTAACATTTTGTACAGCTGTGACATAACTTGCCAGCTTTTATATCCAATGCCCTGGCCGATGAAGGCAAGCATGTTGTATGCCTTCTTGACCACCTTATACACCTATGTTGACCTGTATGCCCAGATCCCTCTCTATGTCAATGCTGCTAAGGATTCTGCCATTTATTGTATAATTTGCAACTGAATTTGATCTTCCATAATGCATCACCTTGTACTTGTCCGGATTAAACTCCATCTGCCATTTCTGTGCCCAAATCTGCAACCTATCCATATCCCACTATATCCTTTGATAATTCTCCTCACTATCTGCAGCTCCACCAATTTTGGTGTCATCTGCAAACTTACTAGTCAGACCTCCCACACTTTCTTCCCAATCATTTATGTATATTACAAATAACAGAAGTTTCAGCACTGATCTCCGTGGAACATTACTAGTTATTGATCTCCACTCTGAAAGCACCCTTCCACTGCTCCTCTCTGTCTTTTATGACCAAGTCAGTTTTGTATTCATCTAGCCAGCTCATTCCAGATTCCATGAGACTCTACCCGCTTTATGCCTGCCATGAGGTACCTTATCCAAACTCCACGTAGACAACATCCAGTGCCCTTCCTTCATCAATCAAACTTGTCACCTCCTCGAAAAACTCAATCAAGTTGGTGAGACAGGACCTTGCCCGCACAAACCCATGCTGCCTATCACTAACAAGTCCATTCGCTTCCAAATGTGAATAAATCCTGTCTTTCAGTATCCTCTCCTACAGCTTCCTCCCACTGATGCCAGGCTCACTGGCCTGTAATTACCTTGATTATCTCTGTTTCCCTTTTTCAACAAAAGAACAACGTTGGCCATTCTCCAGTCATCTGGAAACTCACCTGAGGCCAAAGAGGAGGAAAAGATATCTCTCAAGGCCCCAGCTATTTCCTCCCTTGCCTCGCACAGTATCTTGAGATAGACCTCGTCTGGCCCTGGGAAGTTGCCTACCTTAATGTATTTCAAGATACCCAACACTTCCTTCTTGATCATGTTGACAACATTTCCTCTTTCATTATGTTGACCTGTCCATAGTATTCACGCACCTTTCCCTAACCTCAACATTCCTCTCTTTGGTGAATACCAATGTAAAGTACTCATTAAGGATCTCACCTAATTCCTCTGGATCCACACATCACCTCCCACCTTTATCCCTGAGTGAGCCTACTCTTTCCTTAGCTACCCTCTTGCTCCTAATGCATGTATAAAATGCCTTGGGATTTTCCTTAACCCTGCTGGCCAAGGACATCATAACCACTTTTAGCCCTCCTAACTCCCTATTTGAGCTCCTTCCTACTTTCTCTATATTCTTCAAGGACTTTGTCTGTTTTTAGTTGCCTGGACCTTAGGTATGCTTCCTTTTTTTGACTTAGCTGACAATTTCCTCTGTCATCCAACATTCCCAAATCCTGCCATTCTTGTCCTTCATTTTCACAGGAACATGCCTATCCTGCACTCTAATCAACTGGTCCTTAAAAGATTCCCATATGTCCGATGTGGATTTACATTCAGACAGTCGCTCCCAATCCACGTTCTCTAATTCTTGCCCAATTTGGCTATAGTTGGCCTTCCCCAATTTAACACCTTCATCTAAGGTCCACTCTTGTCCTTATCCATAGGTATCTGAAAACTTACGGAATTATGGTCACTATTCCAAAAATGCTCCCTGTCTTTGATCACTTTGATCAATACTTTGATCACCCGGCCGGGCTCATTTCCCAATACCAGGCCAATATGGCCCCCTCCCTCAATGGACTATCCACGTACTGTTTCAAAAAGCCTTCCTGGACACACCTAACAAGTTGCTCCCTATCCAAACCCCTGGCACTATGGGAGTCCCAGTTGATAAGGGGGGCATTAAAATCACAGATTGCAACAACCCTGTTATTTCACATCTTTCCAGAATCTGATGACATATCTCTTCCTGTATCTCCTCCTGGCAGCCGGGAGATGTGTACTACAATCCCTGCACTGTGACTGCATCCTTCCTATTCCTGAGCTGTGCCCTAATGCCTCGCTGCAAGATCTCTCCAGGGTGTCTTCTCTCAATCCAACTGTGATATGATCCCTAACCAATAATGCAACTCCCCCAACTCTTTTGCCTCCTCCTGTAACTGCTCTAAAACATTGATATCCCAGAACATTAAGCTGCGAATCCTGTCCCTCTTTCCACCAAGTCTCTGTGATAGCAACAACCTCATAACTGCATGCATTAATCCAGGCTCTAACTTCATCTGTCTTACCTGTTATACTTCTTGCATTGAAACAAATATAGTCAAGCCTCCAGTTCCATCGAGTTCTGCAATCTCTCCCTGACTGCTCTTCCTCTTAGCTATATTTGCCTTAGATTCAAGCTCCTCCCCAGTCTTTATACTTATTAACCTGCTGCTCCAGTTCCCAACCCACTGCAATACTAGTTTAAACTCTCCTGAGCGGCGCTATCCCTGCAAGGATATTGGTGCCCCTCCAGTTTAGGTGCAACCCATCCTTCTTGTACAGATTCTGCGTTCCCTGGAGGCATCCCAAAGATCCACATATTTAAACTCCTCCCCCCTACACCAGCTCTTTAGCCACATGTTCAATTGTACTCTGTCCATGTTGCACATGGCATGGGAAGTAATCTTGAGATTACAACTCTAGATGTCCTGCTTTTTGGTTTACTACCTAATTCCCTGAATTGTCGTTGCAGGATCTTGTCACTCTTCCTACCTATGTCATTTGTGCCAATAGGGACAATGACTTCTGTCTGTTTACCTTCTTGTTTCAGGATGCCTGTACCCGTTCATAACCCTGGCACCAGGGAGGCAACATACAATCCTGGAGTCTCTTTCATGGTCACAGCAATGCCTATCTGTGCCCCTGTCTATTGAAACTCTAATTACCATTGCTCTACTACACTTTGTGCCTCCCCTCTGTACAGCAGGGCCAGCCATGCTGCCATTGCTCTGGCTACTGCTGCTGTCACTTGATGGGCCACATCTCTCATCAGTATCCAAAATGGAATACTCGTTTGACAGGGGGACTCCTGCACTGGCTGACTGCCTGCTCCGTCTAGCGATCTCCCATCTATCTTCCTGTACCTTGGGTAGGAACATGTTTCTATAACTTCTATCTATAACACTCTCCACCATTTGTGTGCTCCTTAGCGTTTCCAAATGCTGCTCAAGCTGATCCATTTGTTTGGTGAGCAGTTGAAGCTCGGTACACTTCCTGCAGATATAATTATCAGGGATGCTCTCAGCATCCAAGATTGACCATGTCTGGCAGGTGGAGCACAAAATCCCACCAACTGACATGACTAACCCTCTACTGGCTATTAGTTTACAAGTTAAATTTTAATGAGCTACTTAAAAGTTACTGTTACTACTTTCTAACAAATAGTAGCACCCGCCCCCCCCCCCCCGCCCCCGCCCGCGCCCCGCCCGCCCCGCCCGACTTACTATTTGAACTCCCCGTACTAACCAGATGAACTAACTGTACTTTAGAAAAACTGAGACACACTTACCCTGTACTGCAGAGATTCCTTCACATGTCCTTTACTGATTTACTTGGGTTAAGTAGGCTTTTGTACAAATACACTGCAACACTTGGGCCTATTACTATCAAAACACAGAAAGAAAAAAAATCAGCATTCTGGAGAACATTCAGAGGAAAGAAACCAGAATGATACTCAAGGCTGAACTTTTACAGAGTTTGCAAGATTCTGCAGACCTTTCAAAATGGTAGGTGCTGTACGGATGCTCAAAAACATGCTCAACTTTGTGATTAGGAGAAAGATATCCTTCATGAGTTCAGATTACCTATGTTCAAACACATCTCATTTTGGCTCTTACAAGATTCTTAACCCGTAGTGTGGGAGTCACAAATTTATGGAGTAGACATGAACACTCTTGAAGATAAGGAATTTAAGTGTCATGATGCACACTTTATTTTTAAAACATCTCTGGTGTTCAAACTTGGAAAGAACATGCATAAGTTATTAATGACAGTTTTGTTAAAAAACGCTACTGAGTTTTGATTAATATGTCATCTACTTTAGGTTAGAGTGAACAATTGTTACACAGTTTCAGTATTGTTCTTTGTTGACATTTACCGAAAGTTGTTTGCATGTCAAAATTAATGGCTTCCAGCGATGACTGCGTGCCTCCGGTGATGCCTGCCGGCCTCCGGTCAACATCCGGCCTCCTGTGGCAGTCTCCTGGCAAGGCATGGCGGCCTCTGAGCCTTCATGGCAACGTCTTGGACTTCGTCACGACCTCCCGGCCTCTCATGGCAGCCACCTAGCCTTCACGGTGACCTCATATGGCAGCCTCCCGGCCTGGCTTGGTGACCTCCCTGCCTGGTGTAGCGGCCTCATGGGGCGGCCTTCTGACATGACTGTCTGGAGTGATCTTCCTGCCTCACGACCCTCAAGGTGAAGCCCGGTGCAATCTGAGCCAGGGCCCGGCATGGTCTGGAGCCAGGGTGGAATGGAGGCAAGGTGCCAGCAAGATATGGGTTAGAAGACCGCTGTTTTGGACTTTTATTTCTGCAATGTTGGACATTTTATTTCTCTATTTTCTAAGATCTTGTAACTAAATAAGCTGTACCTCAGTGAGTACAGTGAAAAGTTTATATGTTGTCACTAGTTGTATGTTGTAGTGACAATATATAAACTTTTCACTATACTCACTGAGTATATGTGACAATAAAGCTATTTCAATTCAACACTAGGCTGAATTTCAATAAACTACAGAAGCATTACTTTAGCAAGGGTTTCTGAGTTTACAGATTGATTGACAATTTAAATAAGCCATTAAAGGATAAGCCATTTTGGTGCAGCGACTGAATATAAGTTTTGTTTGTTTTATAACATTTCAGCTACTTGACAAGATTTGGGTTTTGTACTGGTTTCACAAATGGGAGGTTTTTCATGATCAAGTGTACAATCAGTGACAGAATTGATTGGATTGTTAAGGGGTTCTTTTCTTTATTTCCACATGGCTCCTGAGTTCTACTCATGATGGATATAGGCAGGCAACATGGAGTTATGAGGGGGCATGGTGAATGGATGGGAGAATTGAGATGTCATGAAGGTGGCAAAGGGAAAATGGTTAGGGTGAGGGCTAGATGGGCTAACAGCTTCTAAAACAACTGGGATAAAGCTCCTGAGAACAGACTCTAAACATCTTCCTAGTCAACATCCTCCCCACATCCATCCCCGCTCCATCCACCCCACTGGGGCCATAATTCAGTGGTAGCAGATAAGGCCATAAGAAATAGGACCAGAGGAGGCTGTTCGTCCCCTCAAACCTGCTCAACCATTCAATAGGATCATGGCTGATCTGACATCAAGCATCAACCAGAGTCAGCACGGTTCCTTGAAAGGGAGATTGTGTCTGGCTAATGTATTTGAGTTTTTCAAGGAAGTCTCAACCTGAGAGGATAGACGGGAACTAGTACTGTTTTCTGGTTGTAACACTAAAATACTCCCCCACTCATAGAATTATAGAAGAATCATAGAATCCCTACAGTGTGGAAGCAGGCTATTCGGCCCAATGAGTACACACCACTCCTCTGAAGAGCTTTCACCTGGATCCACCCCACCTACCCTAGCCCTATAACCTTGTATTTCCCATGGCTAATCCACCTAGCCTGCACACCCCCGGACACTACGAGCAATTTAGCATAGCCAATCCACCTAAAATGCATATCTTTGGACTGTGGGAGGAAACCAGAGCACCCAGAGGAAACCCATGCAGATATGGGGAGAATGTACAACTCCACACAGACAGTCACCCAAGGGTAGAACCTGGGTTCCTGGTGCTGTGAGGCAGCAATCCTTACCACTGAGTCATCATACCCACCTCAGCTACCTGCTTCGCTCCCCAGAATTATGTTCAGTACTGCACCATACCTTGTTGACCTCTATGTATTGACCTAAAAACTCTCCTGAATATATTTCAAGAAATCCACTCCCTCTAATTACTTTATGCTATGACTATCCCAATTAATGTTGGGAAGTTGAAATCCCCAAATATAATTACCATATTTTTATTATATACCTCAGTGAATTGTCTACATATCTGCTCTTCTATTGCTTGCTGACTGTTTGGGCCTTATAATTAATGCTCCACAATGAGACTGCCTCTTTTTATTCATAAGCACTATCCATAAAGCCTCATTAGAAGACCCTGCCAAGATATCATCCCTGCTCATTGCAGTAACTGACACTTTACAACACTATCTTCTATTTGATACTTTCCCTGTCTTTCCTGAAGATCCTATACCCTAGAATGTCGAGTTGCCAGTCCTGACTCTCCTTCAACCACATCTCTGTGATGGAAACAATATCACAATTCCACATGTCAAGACATGCTCTTAACTCATCTGTCTTACCTATAAACCTGGACCTGATGGTAGTTCCATTCAAGGTCCAATAAGATTGTGAAGGCAAAAAGTGGTGTTTGAAATATTGAATATAATTGTCATTTAAAATAGTCAAGGCATATATCATGTAGTACAAGGTGCTGATAGCAATAATTATGGATCACCATACAGTATTTTGTTTAGATTTTTGGAAGGAAAATAATAAAGTATGACAAGTATTTCACAATTAATTTAAAAGGTTTCTAGTTGCACTGTTTCACTGTTTAGTTATTTTGACATTATTTCTAATAGGGAAGCGTTAACTTAGAGAAAGCTGAGATGTTAAAATGTTCCTGTTCATAGTGGGGTAACTGGTGTCTTTAACAGTGCACATTGTACAGGATTATGTGACTGAGCTGAAAAGAATGTGAAAACATCATTCTGGAGCCAAGATGAAAATTACAGATTTCGCAATATATTTCCAACATCTTGCATTTCAAGAGCTTTATTGTTTAAGCAATGTCTATAAGATTAATTGGGGAATGAAGGGTCAATCTGTTTAATAGTAGCTGAGCTGTTATTATAGTGCATAAAAATACAAGATGTTTTATTGTTTTTTAACCACAACTTTAGTTCATTTTCCCCCTACCACCCCTGTTCCCCAGTAATATGCCCTATTTCCTTATTGTGGAAACCTACTCCTGTAAATTTGCTAATATAGATATTGAGGCAGTGATGACAATGGGATAAAAGAATGAACTAAACGTTTCTCCTGAGATCTCCTCCCATTCCTCTTCTCTGCTTGGTTAATTACCCAGATAGCTTGGCTGATATCAGGAAATCATCATATATAAATAATTTTACTATTCTGTGGTGTGCAGAGAACCCTTGATAACTTTAAGTAACATGTTTTATCTTAAACTTAGGTTATTTAATCTTACGTTTCCTTTACATTAAGAACCTGACCAGAGGATCAAATTCCACATCTGTGCAGAAACAATAAGCTGAAAGCAGTAGGTTACAAGATATTATGTGACACCAAGCTTGGGATTTAAAACACAAAACTTTAAGACAATAGATAAAAGCAGCAAAACTCATCTTTGTTGGTAACATTAAATGGATGATAATGAATTAGAATTCTATTTTATAGGTTCAAGAAGACAGCACACCACTACTATTTCAAGGGCAGTAGGGATGGGTAATAACCGGTTGCCCAGTATAAGCTTGTGATTTTAAATAAATCTGTTAAACAATAACCTGGTATCATGTGAATTTTGACTTTGTCTACCCCAGTTCAATACTGGTATCTCCTCATCATGGCTACCAAATAATTCCAGAATGTTGACCCAGTGGCAATTAAGAAATTAGGTATTTTACAAATGAGTTGGGAGGAGTGCACTGCCTTTTTCTAATCCAATTGCTCTATGGATCACAAAATAAATTTTAAAATATTTTCTCAAGTTCCAATATGGCAAATCATATTCTTTCTCTATATTAGACAGAATTTAAAAAAAACAGGTTTCTTTAGTAAGCACAAAGTTGTCAATTTATTGTAGAACAGGTCACGTACAAGGAAGTTGCAGGATTTGTTAGCACACATATTTTGTAAAGTGAAAATATAAATGCTTCTCATGTAAGTAATTTAAACCATGCACAAAAAACATGCATACATTCCAGGTGAAAGGAAAACAAACATATCTCTCTGCAGTGATTGCCAACGGTGGTTACTCTTGAAGGGGAGAAAAAAAAGGATGAGGTGTAGAATCTTCCAAAATCTGTCAATCTGATGGTGTTACCTGTATGGTCTTTTGGGTCTTGATAGACATAGCTTGCTCAGGAAATACAATATTGAGAAGTTATTTCCGTCATTGCTTTTCTGAAGAACATTTCATACTGAATTCTCTATAATTGTGGTTTTGGAACAGGAAACACAAGCTGGGCAGCTTGTCCTTAGTATGTTTCACAACAGGATATATACCAAAGCTAACATACTGTGTGACTTGGTGATGGTACTTTCATACACCTGCATCCTTTATACTTCTAGGTAGAGGAAGGCAGATCCTTACTGCTAACAGAGCCTTGACAAGTTGGTACATTTCATTCTATAACAAGACTACACTGGTGATTTAGGGAGTGAATGTTTATAGTAGTTGTTCTGGGTATCATGGAACTTCCTAAGGATGCTCATGGTATACAATGACTTGTGCCTCAAAGATGATGGCTTGCTATCAGAAAACTCTATCTCCGACCA